CATCCACCACACAGTAATATCGTGCGTGGGAAATTAACGTCTTCTACCCCTAACCCTGCAGGAGACGTGGCCTACGGTTTATTCGTCCTTATCCGAGAAGACTAGAATATCTATCCATTTCTTGATATCATATAACAGGAGGCAGTTAGAGCTGTGTTTTCAATCTGTTCGCGAAAGATATAGCTAAAATGCCAGAGATGTTAGAACCCACCGAGTAGCCTTCTGCTCAGCAAAATATTTGGTTTACAAAGGTGAGGTACATATTGGAAATATCTTGAACATGATTGTGAAAAGGTCCGTGCCGTATTAGTTGGAGAGATGTAAAATAGGGTTAGTTCTTGATTCTTTCGACAATGTTATCGATATGGCTCATTGGATGTATATCATTATTAGGATGTTACATCGAAGCCTAAAGAATACAATACTATCTGTGGGATTTGTATCCAGCTGGTTTGCATTAAACGAGGCTTTACTCGAGGTGTGCTGGGACGGTGACAATGATAGCGAAAGTGACAGAGACAGGGACAGAGACAGAGACAGAGACAGTTATAGGAAGTGACAGAGACAGTTATAGGAAGTGACAGAGACAGTGACAGTGACAGTGAAAGTGAAAGAGACGGTAACAATGCCAGAAAACATTACAGTAACAGCCAAAGTATCAGCGAAAAATTTAGGGACAGAGAAGTGACAAAGAAACTATTAGTTACATTGTCAATAACAGTGACACTGATACTGCCAGTTACAGTGAAAGACAGAGGAAATTATCACAGACATTTTATAAAAGAAAGGGACAGGGAGAATAACAGTAACTTACAGTGACTTTGAAAGGGACGGTGACAATTAAGTAAACATCGACAGGGTCAGTTACAATGACAGAAACACTTAAAATGACAGAAAAAGTGACGGTAGGAGGAAGATTGACAATGACAGCTGCAGAATCAGGTAAAGTAAAATTGAAAATGACAATGAAAGTGACATAAATAGTAACACTGATGAACACAAACAGTGACTGAGACAGAAACGGTGACAGTGATAAACACAGTCATGATGTAGTGACAGAAACAATGACGGAGACGATGACTAAGAAAGAGTGCCACTGACAGTGACAGAGACAATGAAGTCACATTGACACTGACAGTGAAAGACACATAGACAGAGACAGTGACAGAGATGAAGCATTGACACTGACAGTGAAAGACACATAGACAAAGACAGTGACAGAGACAATGAAGTCACATTGACACTGATAGTGAAAGACACATAGACAAAGACAGTGACAGAGATGAAGCATTGACACTGACAGTGAAAGACACAGACAAAGACAGTGACAGAGACAATGAAGTCACATTGACACTGACAGTGAAAGACACATAGACAAAGACAGTGACAGAGATGAAGCATATGATAATGGGAGTTAGAGTGACTGACCCTTTTAGAGTGACAGAGAAAAAAAAAAGAGAGTGACGATAAAGTGACGGTCACTCTGAGAGTGACAGCGCAACTTTCAGTGGGAGAGAGTGAAAAAGAGAGAAATGGTAACAGAGACGGCTAAGGTGACGATGGCAGTGTCAGCAAAAAAGATAGTAAAATAGACAGTGACAGAGAGTGACTGTAACCCTGACAATAACAGTGACGGAGAGAGAGAGAGAGTAAAGAATAACTTGATCATAATAGTGAGATAGACAGTAACGATAAATACAGTGACAGCTGGTGACAAAGGCTGAGACAGCGACACTAGAACGAGAGAGAAAGGGAGAGTGACATTAAAAGAGACGGTGACACTGACAATGGCAGAGACGGTAAGAGTGACAGTGACCGTGGCACAGACGGTGACAATGAAGTGTCAACTTGAAGTGTGGGACAGACTCAGTGGGAAATAAGAGAGAGAGAGTGAGTGACAGATGCAATGAAAGAGACAGTGACAGAGACAACGAGGAAGATACTCGAAAGAGAAATCGAATAGGAAAAAGTTAGCCATAGTTGCATGAAGTGATAGTGACTGAGAAAAGGACAGTAACAGTGACAGTGATAGTTTCTGAGTAAGTAGACAACGAAGCTCATTCAGGTAGTTCGGGTCCTTCTAATATGTCTAACTCTTTACCAGCTGAAAGTGGTTTCAAAATGGCCTGTTTGAACATTAGCAGTCTTGTCAAACATGTTGACGAACTTAGAGTCTTTCTTGTCGAGTTTTCATTTGATATTTTGGCAGTTAATGAAACCAAACTTGACGAATCCATAAAAAGTGTCGAACTCCATATACCTTGCTATGAATTTATCCGTCGTGACAGAAATAGACATAATGGAGGGGTAAGTTTTTACTTTAAGTCCTCTAATTCTTATATTGTGCATTCCGAGCAAACGCGATTGGTCTTAAAAATTTAACTATAGAAATTCGTAAACCGAACTCTAAGCCATTTCTAGTAGTGACATGGTACAGACCTCCCTGTTCTCCAACCGATTTATTTTGGAGTTATCAGTCATTTATAGGCAATTAGATTCTCTCGACCTAGAGTACTATTTGTTAGGTGAATTAAACTGTAATTTGGCTTCTCCTACACCTGATACAAACACTCCTCGTTTACTCGAGATTTCGGATTTATATGGGCTCAAACAATCAAAAATGAATCAACTCGTAGTACAGAATCCTCATCTACACTAATTGAATTGACTTACACATCTTATGCAGAGAGGGTAGGCTGTTCCGGTGTATTCCATATCAGAGATCATAGCCTTGTTTATGAATATCGGAAAATATTTACCGTCTAATGGACACGTCCATCTCTTACAGAAATTTTCGAAATTTTGATCGTGAAAACTAATGGTTAGTTCTCAGAAAGGGGACAGCAAGTTTGTTTACCGAGTCCCTCAGAGAATAGTTTGATTCGTTTCGCTTTATAAATTCAGACGTGAGATATTCGGGAACCAGCCCGTTTAAAGACTCAAAGCTTTCTGAATTTGACGTTGAGATTTCAAGTCTTTCCAGATGAGTTTGTGAAACAAGGAATCGACATCTACGTCATAGTTTGATGAGGTTATTACTCTTGTAGCATAGTTTTGTAGTTTTTGTAGCTTGTTAGATAATTTTTTGCCACAATTACTCTAGACTAGACTGCGGTAATCAAAGTGAGATTGAACTAGTGAGTTGTATATGTTGAGTAGGGTGGACTGAGGCACAAATGGCTTAACTCACTTTATGGCTCCAATTTCAGAAGCGATCTTTTTACGCTGTTTATCAATGTGAAAATGCCACGTTAAATTTTCATCAATATGTATTCCAAGTGATTACACAGAGGAAACTTCTTCACTCGGATGATTATCAATGGAGAGTTCGAGCGTATCAGATAGAGTACTTAATCTTTGCCTGGAGACGATCAACATAAATTTAGTTTCTGTAGCATTAACGTTCAAGGCAAGTCTATTAGACACAAGTAATTTGCTTAACTTTTCAAGGTCGTGAGATGACTAGACTGAATGAGATGCAAATCAGAACCAGCATAAGTAATGGAGGTGTCATCAGCATACATTCTAGAAGTGCTGAAAGAAAGACAATCAGCAAATTGTCAATATAATTAGAAATAAAAGAGGGCCAATGACCGTTCCCAGTGGCACACCTCATTTAAAAGTGTTGAGGTCAGAGAGACAACCATTAACTGCGCATCGTAGTGTGCGATTCGTCAAAAACGATTTGAACGACTTAAACTAATCAAGAGTTTTACCTTGAATTCCAAAGCGATTCGTTTTAGTAAGTAATATCTCATGATGGACAGTGTCGAATGGCTTTTTAAGTCGAGAAACACTACGGCATTGACGTAGCCACGATCGGTATTAAACGCCCAACTGTCAGTGGCCTCTAGTAGTGCAGTAACAGTTGAGTGTAGAGACCGGAAACCAGATTGTTTTTTAGGGATAATTTTTTCACTGTATAAGAATTTGAAGAACTAATCGTACACAATCCTCTCGAACGCTTCGGCGACTACGGAATGACTGAGATAGGTCAGTAGTTGTTTAAATAAGAAAGGAAGATTCCCAAGCTATGGTAAGAATTACAGTTCCTTCTCTCATACATTCTTAATCATTAATAAAAGTCCAGACTGAGAACCCAATGGGCCACCCTTGGCAATATTCCATGAAGTCTTTATGTTGAAATTTTCACAACCGGTTCGCTGAGTTCGCGACCCATGGACTGAAGCCTTTTCATCGTGGGTTCTTACTATGTCTCAGTCTATTAGTAATCATGTTTTCTGTTATAAAAAAGAAATGTTTTTGGAAGTTCTGGTGTCCTTTGAGAAGTCTTGTCGTATCAGCGTTCGCTTTAGCTAATGATAACGGGTGCGAATTGATGTGTGGGTCGGGTAAGAACGACACAAACTGGGTACGAATCGTCTGAGTACGAAACGTCCATGGGTATGAAACGACTGAATACCCTATTTGCATCACCATCTTTAAGTAAAATTTAGCCCCACAATTAATATTAACAAATCTCCACAGTGGTTAAGGTTTGTTGTCGAAATTTTATCCCCGCAGTATTTTCGAGTCTTTTCAAGCAAGGAGAGGCAGACGTTGACTAAAACTGAGTTCAATTATTGTTTGTTCCATCACATATATAAATGTGAGACTAGAAAGAAGTTACTGCCCGGGGCTGTAGAAAGGGGGAAGGGGGTGGGCAAGCACCCGAGGTACACATTTGGAGCTCCCTTTCGCAGGCAAGACTCTCTCCGGCTGTCGCTCAGCACATTTAAACAAGAAAGTTGGAGTTTCCCAGTCACATAAAAAACTATAAAGAATCACTAGGGGAAAATTAGTCTTGAATTTTCTTTCCTGAAAGACCAACATTTTCATTGTAATGAAATAAAATTTAAGTTCAAAATGTTCGCTCAACACTTCACCAAAAACAAGCCAGGTGGGGTCATTGTTTGACCTCGGAATGTCATCTGCGAGGAAAGCCCGGCAAGGATATGTATATTTGGAATGGCTTAATAATAGTAATACAACACTGTGAAAAGTGTCATACGATATGCCTCTTTTATTGCAGATATTATATAGAGTGTTTAACATTATTTTAAAAAAAATCTTAGTGTGTTTCCACAATGTACAGGAAAAAACGCTCGTCCTTGCTCGGACAAAATCTCCATTTTTAAATAGGCGGACCATTTAATCATGACAAAGGTGTTCCTATCAGCTCCAACACTTCTGAATAGCGCTTTTAGTTTCTTGTACGAGTCGAAAACAAAAGGAAAACGATTAATTTGATTTAAGTAACACTCTATTGAGATGGTTCTCTCCGTTTATGAAAAAGCTTTTTAACAACAGCAAAACAGTTATGTTAAATACGTCAGTAACAATGTACTTGGTTGTTTTCCGATACCAACGACACAAAATTTAAAGAATTTACGACTCATGCAATATTACATTACAAGATATGTCACCCAATAAATGATCTTGTCGATAAATGACACTTAATTGAAAGGTAAATATATTAGTTGTAGTTTATGCTCCATGACTAAATCAATACTAAACTACTAAATATCTTGATAAGTCTTTATCACCAACAGGGGATACTTCATTAGAATAATTGCTGACAAATCTTTCTATTGTTTCACGTACAACAGGAGTAAATAGTTTGTCTGATACAGAAATCTACATAAACGAGCTGTTTTCTAATTTATTATTCCTCTCTTTTTTAATCCTAACTTAATCAGCTGAGTCGAAATTGAGTTGCTTATCAATTGCAACTTAAGAAAAAACTGACATAAACGTTTGCTATTAAGGACACAGCTTTCATTTATTCTAACGCGATGAAACCCTTGAATTATCACAGTTATAATCAATACACATTTTCTAGTACTTGATTTACTACAAAGTGTCTGAAATGTACCCTAGCGGCCGGGTTCCTAAGCAGTATTCAAAATGGCAGCGTCTAACGACGGTCGCTGGCCCATTTTCCCAATCGCTTTGCCACTGCGCTCCCTGTAGCTCGTACTGTTGGCTCGGCATCTTCATCTCCGAGATCTTCAACTTTGGAGTATTTGGTCGTGTCATAAGATCCCATGTCGAGCAGCTGCAGATATGTCTAAAGGGCAAAACAATAAGAGAGGGTCATTTATGAGCGTCACAACGTTCTCTAACGTCAAGTCAAGCAGAAAATGAAACTGACTACTTCAAAGTACGTAAAGGATCCTCGATTTAAAGGCACAGAAGTAATGCGCTTTCTTACATAGGTTGGTAGGTAGGCTAGATTGAGCAGAGAAGGTAAGTAGAGGGAAGGGCGGGAGGGATGGAGATTGATGGGTTTGTTGGCAAGACACCTCTTAGCGTGCTTTATGTTTGAGTATTAGTGTTTCAAAACATAAACAATATTGATGGGCTAAGACAAATAGGAAGAAACGTAACTACTGGCAGGAGCCTTCAAAATGAAAGCTCAAAGCACCAAAATTCCCGCAAGCAGCCCCAAGAGAAGTTAAATAAAACCAATACAATCCCAAATCACTCCAATTAATCTGGTGAAATCAGCTTTAAGAGAATAATGGTCTAAGAAGGGTTAAATAATCACTGAGCCCTACTTGAAGAACGTGTTCAATTCTCGCTACAAACCTCTTCACGAAGGTAGGTATCCATTCTTCTGCGAAGGTTTTCAAAGGGAGGACGGAAGTCGGGGTTAAAATTCCAGCATCTTTTCATTATAGCATAACTGGAATTAAGGAATGAAGGTAAATGCTGGACTGTATGTTATGAATCATGTGATAACTTACCACCGAGAAATCTTAAAGAAAGCCCTTGCCAAATAATGGTTAAAATGGTAAGAAATGTCTGGCTATAACGACTGTAAAATTGATATTTTCAAAAATTTTTAAAGTGAAAAGAAAACTTTTAACAAAACAAACTGGTGGCCACTGTTAACTTTTTTCATTCAACAGAGTTCAGTAACGAGAGCAGAAATCAGATTAGACACAAGACAATGTTTTTCTTCGAAAGGGGGAATTTGGGGTTTTGAATGAAGCAAAGCGTTAGACAACTTGAAAAGCAAGACTCACAGTTTATCATCAACATGATCGGGCTTTGGAAGTTTGTATCCATGAGTGACCTGTGCAACTACGTTGCCTTCTGACCATCCGTCATATGGAATTCCTCCTGTAAACGAATAAAAAATGTTTAAAAATATTGAGATTTAAATCAAAGAGAGATCCACTTCCAGTGCTTGATCAGAGCCTTCGAAAAATGGTGTTTACTAGCCTGATACTTAATGCAATTGATGACCACTTTTCTATGAAGTAATTTGTAAGAAATGAGAGTTCTTTGTCATTTTAAGTCTCACGCAAAATGCTACTCGTCTTGTGTGATAGTAAGAGCAAGGAAAGTTCCGAGACAACAGAGATTGAAACTTCGACAATCTGAGCATGAGTCATCATTGGAGTAAATTTTGGCAAGACAAATCTATCTGTTACAGCTCATCAAACTAACGTCGGTCAATAGAGTCTGACAGGCATTGACACTGACTAACGAGTTCCACATACGATACTTACAACATTTCCAGACATGGACGGCCCGGATGTATAAATATTTGATATCGAACATAGTTTGACTTACCAAGGGTAACTATCTCATACAGAACGATTCCGTAAGACCACCTGAAAAATATTTAAAAAAACACTGCCCAGTGAGTGTTGGATATTAGCTTGGAAATATAAAAACCGAAGAGATAAGCTGCTCAGTGCAATACTATACACCATACATACACGTCACTCAAGGTGGAAAGTCCAGCAAGATTTCCCAACAAAATCTCAGGTGGAGTCCATTTAATTGGCAAACAGCCCTGCAACGACGAGTTTGTGTTAAGAATTAGCGCTATGATACCGATTTGCTCCAAAGGTCATGCATACAAACAATTGTAAACACTACGATTTGTTTGGCACTAAGGTTGGTGGTGCACTCCTTCAGAGACTTTATAGTGTCAAAATTGATCAGTTGTCATAAATTTTGAACAGCAAAGTCAACAAACTCAGTTGTATTCTGTGGCACAGCAAAACGTGGGACCATCGTGGCAGTTAAGGCGAGGTTTAGAGTAGAGTTAGGGCCAGCCTTAGGAATCTGTTTGCAGGTGGGACAGTAAAAATAAAAGACAAAGAAGATGTTCTACCTTTTTGGCATTTCCATGACCATACTTGAAGTTTTGATATGCCATGCCAAAGTCGGTCACTTTGCACACATAGTTATTATCAAGGAGGACGTTTCGAGCTGCCAGGTCTCGGTGGATTATCTGCCAAAAGACAAAGATCCAAAATGTAAACTGGCTAACAAATGCATGTCTCTTGTGAGACTTACCATAACCAGAGGGAAGATCATGTAGATGTTTGCATGGTTTTACGACATAATTTAATTGACAGAAACAAATTACAATCATACAAAATCAACAACTTTATTACAATATTCGTTCGAGCGACTCCAATGGACCATACAGTAATTATCGTTGATAACTCACTTAAGCCCTCTTCAAACTATATCTTAGCTCACCACTATCTCAGTCTCACAGTTTTCCTTAAGTTCCATGATATGGACAGTTTTGTACAGCAGCGCTCTCTTTCTTGGAATAGCGTTCAAACAGTTGGTCCCTCCCGACAACAGCAAAAACTCCTACTACACGACTGAGTCCTTCTATGCATTTACAAAGTATTCTAGAAGATTTCAGAAGATTACCATGCACCTATTTTGACAGTATTACAACATAACAAAGCCTAACAGAACGTCCTAGAAAGTTCCACAGAAAAATCACGCATGCAAGTCAGCATGAGTAGGAATCGTAAAAATTTCTGGATACTTATTCATAACAATGGGTTGTAAGAACCATTGTTCCTAAGGGTGTTCAATACAGACCGAGCAAATACCAAAAACACTGACATCAGGTGACCCACTGACAACACCAAAGAAACCCTTGGTCGAAGAAACATTCGGAATATCAAACCTGCTTCAAAAAAATGTCATACTTACTCCTCTTGATCCAAGGAATACCATACCAGCAGCAATTTGTTTGGCAAATAGCACAAGGTCATAGTTGTTCAAAGCTTGAGCTCTTCCTTCTCCAAGATAATACCGATCCTTAATTCCCCGGCATTTTCTCATGTAGCCAAGCAAGTCACCGCATGGCAAGTATTCCATGATAAGGATTGGATGAACTTAAAATAATCCAAAAAAGGAAGAGATCAATCCAACAAAAGAAAAAAAAAAAACAGTCAAAGGTAAAAATATACTCAGTCACAATGTAATTACAATTGCCAAGAATAATGCCTTAAAGTGAATTTGTACCTTGTCTAGTGACGCAGCCAATGAACTTCACTATATTTGGCTGATTGCTTTCACCGAGAATTTTTCCCAACTCGATCTCTCTCATCAAACATTTCCTTCCTTCCTCCCCTGCAGTGGCTGCAATAAAAACGATATACTCTATAGCCAGGAAAAAAGACTTATTGACGAATTTTTTCGCGGAAAAACTTTGGGTAAGGATTTAGACCTCACATTTTAGGAGGTCTCTGAAGCTCAGTTTGTGGCGCTCACACCTGCGAAGATGGAACTGGTTAGCGATGGAATCCTTTCTTACAATTGAAGCACATGTTTGCCATCTTCAGATGTTTTATTTCTACTGAACATTTATTATTGTTTTCATTAAATATGACTTTGCATGAATCTCTCAGAGTGCCTTAGTTGACCCGTGATAAACAACCATTGGAAGTGCCAAACAGGCCAGCCTTTGCTGTAAAGTATTTATCTACGTGATTTGAGGAGAGATAGTTGACTGGATCTTACGTGTGAAGCATTTAGCAGCAACTGTGCGATTTCCAGGCCTCCCATTTGGAGAACTAAGAAGAGCTCTCCACACTGCTCCAAATGACCCACGCCCAATGACCTCTTGAAGCAGAACACGGTTTACTTCAACCTCCCATTCGTCCACTTCTATATTCGACAGCTCCATCTCAACTGCCTGCCCTTGATTAGGACTAAATACCATGAAAATCAAAATGATAAATATGGTGCAATAAATATTATAAATCAGAGTATATGTGATCAAGAAAAAAGAAATGAAGGAAAAGGTTTGTTTTTAAACTACTTGACACATTTCTTCAAATTATGAAATAAAAATTAATCTCAGGTTTGCAAAACAACCTTTTCTTGTGCAGAAAAACGAAGACTGTAGAACAACTCGTTCATGCAGACAAGTTAATATCGAGAATCCGTCGACAGTTGCAAAAGTTCATTATTCATTATATTTTTCCAAACGGAAACTTTTAATGAACCTTTTTTGAAAACTACATGAAAAAGTTCTATCGCGCTTTTCTTTATCGATCCCAAAAATCGAAAAGTTCGAAATACGCCTAGATAGAAAATGTAAATTTCTTGTTATGTTGTTACGTTTAAGTCGGAAAAGTGAGCCGTTGAAATAAAGTACTTCGCGTCTTTTTCGCAGAGGTAATACAACGTTGTTGAGGGCTTAAAATGAATTCAATTAACACCAAACTTCACCCAAAATAAGAAAAACTACTTCCATCCATTTCTGTTATGTAGTATTTTTCGTTCACATCGATATTGTTATTTTCTAAGTCCTCTAAGCAACACCCTCAAAGAGCGCATAAAATGAGAGCGAAAATGGGTGAAATTCAACCCGATAAAAGTGTATCTGGTACCTCATATTTTAATTTTTTTACTGCATATTAGTAAAAGTATTGTTATTATTCATTTCTTGGGTAAAATTTGATGCTCTAAATCGGAACGCTTCCCTTCGAAAATACCATAAATGCTTGTATCGTTGGCAAGCAAAATGATAAATATGGTGCAAACAAACGCCAATCTAATTGACCCTCTTTAATCGAAAAAGTTTGAAAATTAACGTTAATCTTGGACATGTTTGCCTTGTATTCAACTTAACATAGATTAACATATTAAATCATACCTTCAGAGTTACGTGAGAGCTGAGAGAAAATTAAATTAGAGCCGAAAATGTACTTCATACGCTCTTAAAATGGAAAAGTTGTGATAATTTCTTAGTGGGTCTCTCGGATGACTCTTAAACATTTCGAAAGCAAGTTTTTTTAATTTGTCTGTTTGTTTATTTTTTTTTTCATATATATCAATAACTCCAGCGAACACAGAGGACGACAGTAATATTACCATTAAAGTGCGCTGTCGCACTCTTTAATGTAGTAATAGGGAAGCGATATGCAGATAACATGCGTTATATTGCGTGACATTGATATTTTCTTACTTTAAAGGCCAAAAGTCGCAACATCTCGCCTTTCGGTGGATTCATCTATATCTACAGAGAGTTAGTTTGCAAAGCAACAGATGAAAAAAAAAACAAAAACAAAAAAAAACAAAGGATTTAGCATTAAGGAATCAAGAAATAAGTAGCTCACCGAGGTGGAGGTGCTGCTTTCATAATTGGCTTCTCTTGAATGTAGCCGTTTCATTATATCAACTGTGAAACTGATTGTGCTTTGACAAGTAATACGTAATTCACTTGCGGATTTTTATCTCGAGATGTTTTGTAAAACCTTTCAAACATCTTACGGAATAGTTTAGTTATCTGTAATTTTCTAAGCTACAAGCTGACCATAACCGCGACTAGATTTAATTTTTGAGTTTAAACGTCTTGATATGAATAACTTAACTTGCTGTTTGTCTACACATTTAGCACCATATTTGACACGAACACTTCTGTCATTTTCGAAGGGAAGCAGTGCGATTCCGAGCAAGATGGCTGGATATTGGCCGAGTTTTTTTTCGCACTTTTATGGCCGAGACGAAGTCGAGGTCCATAAAAATGTGGAAAAAGACAATATACATTAACAATATACACTGACAGATTGGGTGGCTAATCAGAACACAGGATTCGCTTCATCTTGCCCACGGGCACTGCGAGCGATTCAATAAAGCTTTTCATAGGCCATTGAATTTGACTTGTATTTTACCTCTGCGAAAAAGACGCGAACTATTTTATTTTAACGGGTTACTATTCAGACTTTAACGTGACAACTTAAAAAGAAATTTAGATTTCAAAAGAGATAAAAGGATCATCTGCTCGCACGCAAAATTTAGAAGTGGGATTGCATCGAGTTGTGGCGTACGAAGTTGCCGTTTACGGGGGAGGGGGTAGAAACGGCCATCTAGGCGTATTTTGAGCTTTTCGATTTTCGGAGAAAGAAGAGTGCGATAGTACTTTTTGAAAAAAAAAAGAAAAATTAATTACGAAATTTTGCAACTGTCGGCGGATTCTCAATATTTATGGCCAGTGGCTCTTAACATTTAAAATGGAATGGTTGGCATGACATTAAGACCCCATCTTCAATTTTTTTTTTTGTCAAATACATTCCAATTTACAGAGTAAATAAAAAATTAACTTACAGAGGCATAGCAACAGCTGTAGTTTCAAATGTTAAATAAAGAAAGAGACAAAGAAGGAAAAAATTTTGCTTAACTTTTAACTCAATAAAAATGTTATGCACTTAGGTGGTGAAGAGAGTTTCAACAAAGTAGTAAAAAAAGGAACATAAAAAGTGTCACAACTAATAACAATGATAATGATGGTTAAAATATTGTTAATAACTAACAATAATTTATTATTAGTGAAATCAGTGGTTTACTCAGAACTCTATGTGCCAAGAAGTTCAACGGTGCATGGTAGATGATAAATCAGAAACAGTAAAAACCTGCCAATAGTACCCAAAAGGTTTTTCTTCTGCAAACCGAGATGATATTAAATCTACCTAATAGCAAAATTGAAGAGAATTGGAATAGGGGTGAAGTAAAAGTAAGCATAAGCTAGTCCAATTTTTGCTTCTGACAACTATTTAGTGGAAAAGGTACCTAAGACAAGATATGAAGAATGAGTCTTACCTGTCCTTCGACGTTTCCAAAAATACCAGCATACGAGCAAAATAACAATGACAGCAGCCACTGATCCAACAATATAATACCACACCAGGGATGGACTCCTCACCCTCACAGCTATTGGAATACGTTAAACACATGACCATTAGCCAGTCGAAGGTAGCACATGTGATCACGATAATGGAAAGGTTTTTACCCAGTATTACCCACCCTTCCATGGATTCTATCTTTTGCTAGAGTTTCCCTAGCACATTAGAAGTGGCTCCTATTTTATGGCAGAGATTCCCAGAAAGGTTAATCAAAACTACGTTGTAGAAGAAATAACCGAATAACCATAACGGGAAGTCTGTTTACAAGCAAAGTGGCCCAACAGGCCAGTGCTTAACTCCCGATCAAAAGTATTTCTACTCCCATCTTCTAGTCTATTGCAGGGTTACCCCCCAAAGTAGTAGAGAAATAACCTGCTAATTGGATGAAGAACAATATCCATTGCCCAATAGGAAACAAATAATCATGATGATATTGGAACGAATTATACCGGTATCAAAAAGAAGATTCTAGTGCATTTAAAAGGCCAGGGACTCAAATTTTCATGCGAGACACGTACTTACCACAAAAAAACAAAAAAAACAAAAAAAACAAAAAAACAACAACAACAACAACAATGAAAACAAAAAAATAAAAATAAAAAGCAGCCAATAGCATGTTTAAAACAATACAAAACTTTCAGGTTACATTTAAATTGAAATATTAATTGCTGTTAAATAATAGATTGTTTCTAGGACACTACAATAATGCCAGCTTACTTATTGTCACAGTGGAGCGGGCCACATTTCCTAGTCTGTTACGAGCTTCACAGGAATATACACCACTGTCCTCCTCCACAACCTTTGCAATAACCAGGTAACTTTTTGTCTCATTCAGTCGCGTAAAGATGTCGGCTCTCTTCTTTATTTGGTCTCCATTTTTTTTCCAAGTGATATTTACTGTTGCTGCGTTGGCAATGCAAGTTAACCTCAGCTCATTACCTGAAGTGAGGGTTGGATATGGTTTTGGAATCAATTCCGCAGTTGGTTTTTCTGTGTTAAAAGGAGATATTGTATATGTATACGAATCTTGATTTCTTTATGGAAAAAAAGAACTTACTCTCAATACCTTAATAAGGCAACTAGTATAAAAACGAAGTGATCCAAAAGCAACCCTCCAAACGGAATTTCCAAGATGCTTCTAAGTAACCCCAGACCTAGCCCTTTGTTTCTAATAATATTATCATGACATATTGCACCATTCAATATACAAAACGCTGCAGTGATAAAAATCTATCGGATGAAAATGACCAGAGTGACCATAACCTAATGTCAAATTCATCACATATAAAAAAGTAATCTCAAACAATTGGTTAATGGCGCATGTGCAACATTTATCCTTCCCACAATTCATTACAGTATTTTTCCTAGATACATTACACCCAAGTTAGCATTTGAACTTGTTGACTCAAATTTTCTGGGAGAATTTCCAGGGGTATCAAGACTCTATCTCGACATAATTATTATAAGAACCAGTCGTGACACACTGTCAGTTATTTTTGGTCAACCTTCAGACTAGCCAACATTAACAACATCAAAGAGGAAAGAATTGTATACTATTATTGCTAAAGTGGATCCATCACCATCATTACCCTAATAGCTATTAAGTTACAGTTACTATTGTTACCATTATTACAATCCTCTTCATCACTATCACTAGTATCATTATCATCATTATCATTATTATTATTATTGAGCCTACCAAAAACTTGAAGTGTTGCTGAAGAACTTATTGTATTTGCTTTGTTTTCTGCTGTGCACTCATATGTTCCTGCCATTTCCTTTTTTGTTCGCGGTGTTTCCAGGAATGATTCCACGAATAAGTCCCGCTCAAAATTCTTTTTATTAATACCTGATTGGAGTTTACCGCCTTTAAACGTCCACGTCACTTTTGGTGTTGGAACACCTGAAGCACGGCAAGTAAAGTTGACAGGGTCTTCATAAGTAACAGACTGATTTACTGGAGACAATAAAATCCTAGGAGACACTGAAAATAAAAGAAGACTACAATCTTCAACCAAGGTTCTTAAGAGACAACCAAATAACCACAAGTAATTTAGCAGTAATTAGATGCAACAGTAAATTTGGAGCCTCTGCCTACACAAACTTCCTGAAGTAAAAGAATCATTTTCATACATTAGATGGGAGTAGGACAGGAGGATATTATATTTCGAACGAGTGAGAGCTTCCCTCAGAAAGATAGTATTAGCATGAAAAGTGTAATCTAATATATTATTTACATAATACTGTAAATATCATGTAGTACCTAGTAGTGACATCATGGCGGCCGGATGCAATCTTACAATGCCTGTCACCACATGCGTGTTTCTATTACTCAAGACTTATGCAGAAGACTCAATGACTCTCAAAGAGATTGATAACACTTTCAGGCTCTCCCCAGTAAAGAAGATAATTTCCGCAAGGCGAAATATCAGTCCAAATAACACTTCCAATTATTATCGACTGGAATACAATCATCTTCCAGTTTTTTCAAATTACTAACCTGAAATTATCTATTGAGTCACCACGTCACAAGGGATTCATACGTATTATTAACCCTACAACAATTTCATCATTTAGGTCTAAATTGGAAGATACTGACTGGTCGCCAGTTCATACTGCTATTTCGGTTGATGAGCGTTATGACACATCCTCAAACCTTCTTACGTCTGCATATCGGAAGTCATTTCCTCTTAAGCCTGCAGGCCCTAAATCCCCACGCCCTTCAAAACCTTGGTTTTCTCGAGGTCTTTTTGCTTCTTGTAAATGGAAGAATGCTCTTTACAAACAATTTCGGTTAAATCCTACTACACTTAACAAGTTAAGATACAACAAATATCGTAACAAATACAATTTTCTCATTACACTTGCTAGGAAAAAATATTTTCATGACAAACTTTTCTCTGTTAGCTCAGACTTGAGGAAGACATGGGCAGTTATTAAACAAGTAATCTCTAAAAAGAAGCCTGAGCTACATTTTAGTCATATGAAAGACAGCACTGGCACTTACTCAGATCCAACTCAAATAGCTAAACAGTTCAATAATTTTTTTGCTAATATTGGGCCTTCTCTGGCGAATAAGATATCATTCTCTCAGTCTTCCCACAGAGATTTCATGATTGGCCATTATATAAATTGTTTTTACATTACCCCAACTTCTCCGACAGAGGTTGCCAATATAGTTTATTCTTTAAAAAATAGTACATGCAAGGGCTCTGATGGTCTCTGTATCTCCCCTATAAAAGAGACCATTGATTTAATAGCTGTGCCTTTGTCTCATATTTGTAATCTGTCATTCTCCCATGGTCTCTTCCCCACACTGCTCAAGACAGCAAAAATACTTCCTATCTTCAAATGTGATGACTCCTCTTTGCTTTCTAACTATAGGCCTATTTCCATTCTTCCCTGTCTCTCCAAGGTTTTTGAGAAACTCTTTTACATTAGACTGTTTGGTTTCCTTGATAAATTTAACATCCTTAACCGCTTTCAATATGGCTTCAGACCTCACTATTCTACTACAATGGCTATTCTTGAATTTGTTAACAATGTTTACGAAGGCTTTGAAAATAATGAATGCACTGTTGAAGTTTTCTTAGACCTTAAGAAGGCATTTGATGCAGTCAACCATCACATACTTAACGAGAAATTAAACTTTTATGGTATCCGTGGTACTCCTCTAGCCTGGCTCAATAGTTATTTGACTAAGAGGCAGCAATATGTTATGGTCAATGGCCATGTGTCTTCCAATAAAACAGTCAAGTGTGGGGTCCCTCAGGGTTCAGTTCTTGGCCCTCTCCTTTTCCTCTTATACATGAATGATATTTTCCACTCCCCTAGTTACCTCTCTTTCATTCTCTTTGCTGACGATACCAAAATTTTTTTTCGTCATAAAGACTTGGCTACTCTAGAAAACATTGTTAATCAAGAGCTTTCTCATGTCTTCTCCTGGTTTAATGTAAACAAGCTTACTATTCACCCTGACAAGTCCAAATGCATTATCTTCCATCCACGGCGTAAAAAGATTGATCTCTCCAAAGTGAACATCTATATAAATAACACTCCTGTAACCCGGGTGGAGAAATGTACATTTCTTGGAATTATCATTCATGAAAATCTCTTATGGAAACATCATATTATTACTGACTGTGATAAGGTCGCTAAGTTTATAGGAATTTTACGTATATCAAGACGATATCTACCCTCGCATACCCTAAAAATTTTATATAATTCTCTTTTCCCACCATACATTAATTATTGTAATTTGATTTGGGGGTCTACATTTGCCTCCTACCTCGAACCACTTTATAAACTACAAAAGAAAGCCATTCGTATTATTACGTTTTCTCCTCCACTAACACATACTAAACCTCTTTTTTCTAAGCTCAATATATTTTCGCTTCACTTACTCTACAAATGCCATATATCCTGTTTTGTTTTCTCATATTTCAATCGCCTTGTGCCTGCCACTCTTTCTTCGCTTTTACATTTCAATCGTGAGTTTCATGATTATTCAACTCGCTCTTGTTTTAACTTACACAAAATAATTCTCGCGTAGGTATCAATTTGCTATTTGTTCCCAAGCCCCAACTATTTGGAATGATATCCCGCTGACTTTCCGTAATAGCCTTACCATTAGTAACTTCAAAAAGAGGCTTAAATTGTACTTCTTGAACCTGAATTAAATTTTCAGCCATTAAAATTGAATATTATACTGAACCTCTGATATACCTGGACTATTGTTTATTACTTAGATTAATCTACTGCATTTTGTAAATTTGTGAACATTATACTGAACTTCTAGTATACCTCGATTATTGTTTATTACCTAGATTTGATTAGATTAGATTAGATTAGAATAACTTAGATCAGTCTACTGTTCTTTGTAAAATTAGTCTTTGTCTCTGACCATAAGCCATTTAAGCCTCTGGCTTTGGCCAATCTTAGGAATTTACTTGTATGACACAAACAATAATAAAGAATAAATGAATAAATACAACATGGCTGGCCATACCAAACAAGCAACTTCACGCAGTAGATGCACTGGAACTTACAACATATTCCTTCTCTTCGCTGGCGACACCGAAATCTATAACAACCCACTTGTCACCTGTAATATTCTACTATTGGTAGCAGGCGACATCGAACCTAACCCTGGTGAGAAATACATATGTTTTTCATGTCAAAGAACCACTGCAGTGACCCACCGCAAAATCTTATGCTCTTCCTGCAATAGCAGATTCCATACTAAATGTGGTCCATTGAAGAAATATTACAAACACCCCCAAAATGCTGCCGTTCACTGGACATGTAGCTTATGACATCTTAAGGCTTTGCCTTTCTGCTCAACACCAACTGAGGAGCTTGTTTCGCTGATTTCTAAAGGAGATCTAAATGTCTCATAACCCAACATAGTTGATCAATCTCCTATTGAATGGTTCAAGCCAAATATTATAGATTATTATAAATCGAACTTAAAAACTGGTCACCTCAACGTGAACAGTATCTTTGGGAAAGCAGACGAAATTATTGACCAACTAAGAAAATGCAAGAAATGATAATAGGTAAATCAAAGTACGATATCATTATGAACTTCTATTTGAAAACAGTGCTATTGAAACCAAAGACCAACTCAAGATCCTGGGAATAAAGTTGAATAATAAACTATCTTTCCAGGAACACATAAAGGATATCCTTAAAGTGCTACTGCGACGTAAATTTTTGCATTCTATTTTCTCAATTTTCTGGTGTTAACATCACATTTAGACCCAAAACTATAAGAATAAGCGTAAGTTTCTCAAATTTGACCACGTTAATCCTTAAAAACAGCGCCGCGAAGACATTAAAAATTCTTCCGCCATTGCTCGAATAACACACTGGAGAGCCTGCGAAAATAACTACAGCGGGTTTAGTTGTGACGTCATTGACTCACTTCGACAACGTCGCGAAGGCATGCCTTTACAAGAAATATGCAAAGAAAGCTGGGGAACAATTCTTTCGATTTTTATTCCTTCTTTCCTACGGAACCAGAAAACAACTCTCCTGGCATACCAAATTAGCCACGTTTGTTGAGTCGTTGACGTCACTTCCGTTCTCGACCCAGTTTCTTTGTCTTCGCACGGAGTTCTGTAGTTCGAAGAATAGCAGCCGTTTAGATTGCGAATCTACAGGGAAAATAATATTACTTCTCGATGGAGTTTTGCCTTAAGATTTGGCAAATTTGTTACTTAGGGTAAGTACTTTCAACCTCCGAGGAGAAAAGAAAAGGTGCATTTTTGGTCGCAGAAGCACTTTAATAAAGTCTATGCAAAAATTGGGGCACTGAGACGCATAAAAAGCTTAGTACCAAAGAACACCATGATAGCTCTGTGCAGAAGCTTTATTCTGCCTCATTTCAAATATTGCAATCCTCTTTTCATTGGTCTTTCAAAAACGTTAAGTAATAAACTAGAAAAGGCAAACCATTATGGTCTAAGAACAGTTTTAAACTTAAATAACTCAGTGTCCTGTGAATCTGCCCTTTAATCAATTGATATGAGATCATTATCAAATAGCCGCATAGAACGATCACTTGTCATATTTTTTAAATGTTTCAAGAAAAATGGCCCATATTACAGTAGTAATATTTTAAGCCCCACATTCTAACTTATAATTTACGTAACAGAGGCCATAATGTTAAACAGAAATCTTGCAGTACTCAATTCATGCACAACTCCTTTTCACATATTATTTCTCGAATTTGGAATCAGTTACCTTCGCTGGCAAAGTCTGCTGAAAATGTGTCAATTTTTCGTAGATCAATTAGCAAGCTCGATTTTCCAGGTTGTCAATGTAACAATTGTTTAAATTGATATTTATCATTTCCAACAATTATTTGTCACCACTATACAAATTGCATCAACTCATTGCATTATATATTATATTTAGTATCGAACAACTTTTTTTTTGATATTTTATACACATAACGCTTTTTATATTTTCGCTGTCAATCACTTTTGTCATGAGCCTCTGGCTCGGGAGATCTGGGCAACCACTCCCTGTGTAATTGACTTTAAATAAATGATTACAGTAACTATTATTATTACTATTACTATGAAGTATGCAAATCAAGTCAAATTTAAAAGCAAATGAATAAACTTGGTTTGTACAAATCCTATTTAAATGTCTAGCATAAAAAAAAAGCCTGTTCAAAAAGTTACATGTACTGACTGGCCAGACCACAGCACCGGTAGCTATGTTACCTACTTGTACATGCACTCTTTGTGAGAAGTTCCTGAGTTCTTTAACGTCCCCTGTTAACCAGTACAGAGAAGATGAAGGAGACAGGGCATACAGTCTATTGGCCTCATCCGAGAATACTAAAATGTTTAACCATTCACCACCGTCATAGCATATCCAGCACATTCTCTTAGGTTACTTAAAGATCTTCAGTGGTGGTCCGGTCTAAGGTTGAACCTTCGACCTGACGCATAGTAGTTCAGGGCTCTACAACATGAGCTTATGGAGCATAATTTGTAAATATTAATAATTTTTTTTTCTTATTTACCAGTAGCTGCAATCCAGAAGGAGGTGCTAGCTTTTCCAGCCAGATTTTCAGCGGCACATTCATAGAAACCCTCATCATCAAAAGTCACGTACTTAATAATTAACGTGTTGTTGTTGCCAAGAGCTTCTCCATTCTTGGTCCACTTGATAGATACTGGAGGATCGCCCCTTACAAAACAAGTTGTTGTAAATGTGGAGTTCAATGTAATTGAACGATTCTTGAGTCCAGGATTTAAATGTGGTGGTACTAGAAAGCAAAATTTAAAAAAGCGACAATGAGATTATCTTCACAGGTACATTGGTACCTCGATCTTGGATGTAAACACTTTAAACAAATAACAGGTCAGCAACTTTTAAGAATTTCATTCTGCAGTTGCTATCGACATGTCCGTTACTTAGATGGCTCAAGACTAAAAAAACTTTTGCCAAATCCTTGCCATTATTGGATGTGGATTTGGCACTATTTGAGAGGTACATTTTTCTGTGTTAAAAGAGACAACTTATGTTAAGCCTGAAAAACAAGGTCACTCACAATATCCTAGTAACGCAATTATCATGGACATGAAAGAGTCCAAAAGCACCCCTCTAAACGGAGCTTATAAGTTGGTGGAACCTGGTTTCAAAAGAGTATTTGTTTAACGTTTATATGGGCCACCTGATCAAAATGAGAGTGACCAGATAAAAATGTCAGAAAGCAATCAGACGAAGAACGTCACCCCAAACAATTCGTGAATGGCACATGCGCAAAAGATAATCTTTCCCCGAATCCATAATTGCACAGAATACCTTAAACCTAAACAAGTACCTACTTGAATTGGCTTTCTTGTCTTAGAAAATTTCCACAAGTATGATTGAGAATCAAATCTAGAGCAGTCATTACAAAAACCAGCCTAACGGGCTCTCAATGTTTTTTGTTCCACCTTTAGACTGGTCTCAATTTATTAGTAATATTTCATGCATCAGCACCAGAGATAAACTCCAGAGAGGAAGGTATCATCGATTATCATTGTTACAGTGGATCTATAACTATTATCATAATAACTGCTTAATTCATGATTATACAGCCATTGTCATTTTTTTTAAAGAACCTACCAAAAACTTCAAGTGTTGCTGAAGAACTTAATGAATTTGCTTGGTTTTTTGCTGTGCACTTGTATGTTCCTTTCATTTCCTTTGTTGTTCGTGGCATTTCTAGGAATGATTCCACGAATGAGTCTCTCTCAAAATTGGTTTGATTAATACCAAACGGAAGTTCATTATCATCAAATGTCCAGGTCACTTTTGGCGTTGGAACACCTGAAGCACGGCAAGTAAAGTTGACAGGGTGTCCATCAATAACAGATTGGTTTACTGGAGACAATAAAATCTGAGGGGACACTGAAAGTAAAAAAAGACCACTTATGATCTTCAACCAAGGTTATCAACTGAAGATACAACTAGACAACCACTCCAGGTCATTTTGTGGTGGTTAAATGTGAGAAAAGATTTTAGAATCCACTAACTACATGTATTTTCTGGGGTAAGAGACATTACCTGCACACGGGATAAAAGATATCACATTTATAACGTGTAAGTTTCCCTAGCTGCCAAAAGATATGATTTACTTAGTTCTTATTAACCGAGCGGGAGGTCTGTATGGGAGAATCTTGACTGAGGTCGCTAGTACAGAACGGAAAGTGCACTCCAAAATCCGTCAGAAGGAGGTCATCTCGGGCAGATTTCCGATTACGAAATCAGAGCTCCCTTGATGTTTTCTTCCTGATGAAGGCCCTATTTAGCATTTTAGATCCGCAAAACAGAGTAGAAACGAACACATACTTCGTGTTCGCTCATGAATTCGAATTAGCCCTAAGATATTTGTTTTGTTTTTTTCATTGCTTTCCGTACAGAACAAACGCAGTGAGGTCTGTACCAGCGACCAAGGTCAAAATTCTCCCATACAGACCAACCTAGCTCGGTTAATAAGATGTTTATTATATGGCTGTGTCTAGAAAGCAATGCAACATTATGTTCTTTGTAACTTTTTTTCTAGACCGGTCTAGATGCCAGTCTAGATGGGAAAATCTAGACCACTTTCAATATTGATTTCAGCCAATCAAGTTCGTAAATTTGGTAGTTCCCAGTCCTCGTGAGACACAGCCATACCATAAATGAGAATATTAATTGTTACCAAGTTGAACATAACAAAGGTGACTTTCCATTTCTTTTCTAGATATCAATATTAGTGAGGTATTCAAATCAAAGAGAAGTGAATAAATGAATAAATTGGGCTTGTGGAAATTCTATTTAAATATTCAACATAAAAATAAAGCAAACAGGTATTTCAGTTTCTCTATGTTCAAAAGTTAGCTAGTTTCTTCCTCTCAAGCTGAATGCAGTTCCAGAAAGGTTGACAAACATTGAAAATACCCAAGTTAAGTGGAATTCGACTTACCAGTTACATTTATCGAGAAGGAGGTGTAATTGTTTCCAGCCCGATTGTAAGCAGTACATTTATAGATACCTTCATCATCAAAAGTTACAGGCTTAATGACTATTTTGTTGTTGTGACCAAGAGCTTTTCCATCCTTGGTCCAATTGACAGATACTGGAGGATCACCCCTTACATAACAAGTTGCTATAAAAGTGGAGTTCAATGGAACTGCATGATTCTTGAGGTCAGGATTTAAATGTGGTGGAACTACAAAACAGAATTAAAAATAAAAGTTACGATGAGATAATCTTCACAGACTTTTTGATTTGGTGATGACCCATTGCTCCAGCCTATGACTACCAAATGGCAGCTGGGTAATATAAATTAGCTAGGAAACTACATCTTGGAATCAAAGACCAAACTTCTCGGTTTATTTAATTGGTAGAGAAAATTATTTTTGGAACTAGTAGATATTCCTCACTCATGTATCAAGCTCCTGAAGTTAACTACTACGTCCTAACAATTTGTCCTCAGAGACATTACACAAATGATTCTGCACAGCTATAACCAGCAGTAAACATTTATTTCCATTTGGAATTTGAGATTTAAAAGTTTATTTTCATTTTAATTAATAAGATAATCTTCACAGGGAGTTACATTGCAAATATTGTCATGGCAGACTCATGCTTTGGACCTGAGAATAATGGGAATCCATTAGAGATTCCAAGCTCATGAATCAAGTTTGGCAAGTTAATTAATATCCCTTATCAAATGGTGAAGTTTTCTCAACAGTTCATTAACAGTTCTGGATGGAGAGACAGGCACCACGCTTAAGGGAAGACTGTCACCCTCAAGGATATTGTAGAATGATCTTGCACAGTTAACCAGCACTACAAACACACTGTGTGTACTATGTAGATTTGGAGTTTGAAATCTAAAAGTTAATGTTGACAAAATGTGGAGATTTTAACTGGATGGAGAGTGGGATGTGTGAGTGTATAGGTACTGTTGCCTCACTCAAGAAGACAACACAATAATACTCACCACCCCTCGAACCCATAAAGTGATGTTAGTCCAGAGTCCATCAGGCTGCAGTCTATACAATTGAATGATTGAAATGCAATTTGAAACCGAAAAACTTACCTTTAACTGTAATATTAATATTTCCAGTGGAACTGCCTCCGACATTTTTTGCTTCACAGGTGTACAGTCCTGCATCTTCCTTCTTTATATCATTGAAGGAGAGAGACATGGTGTTTCCTTTCAATTCGTTATTCTTAAACCAGGTTATCTGTGGTTGAGGTTGACCTTGAATGATTTTACAGGTCAAAGTCACATTTTCTCCTTCAATGATGAAATTGCTTGCTCCTGAAACACTAACCTCTGGTCGAACTTTGAATATATAAACAAGTAAAAAAGTTAAAACAAAATGGCATGGTCATACACACACTATAAGTCTCCTAGAAGGCAGTTATCTTTTGGGTTACTACCATCAATCTACAAAATGGATTTTAACATGACTAATTTGAACATATGAAGTCTTTTTCCTGGCAAAAATTTAAAGACCTTACAAAAAAGAAATGCCAAAAGTTTTTTAATCCTCAATAAATTGAATTGAAACCCCTTTTTATCAGCAGCATCCACATGTAGTAACAGTACTGAACTACTTTTAGTTACTAAATTCCTAATTAATTTTAAAGACAGCTAGAATGATGTGTTGATATAATTAACCAACTAGTTTTAGATTTTACCTATACTTTACTCACCTATAACAGACACAAGTATGTTCTTAGGTGTGCTTGTGACCCTATTTGGTCCTTTATTCTGTTTCATGGTACAGATGTATGTTCCATTGTCTCCTGGTTGTACAAGACTAATGCGTAGATTGCCACTGGTAATTTGAGCAAATCCTCCCCCATTAACCAATAAAATTCTTCCTTGTTTGCTCAAAGTTATCAGTGGAGGTGGTATTCCTTCAGCACTACAGTTTATGATACCAGATGTGTAAGCAACAAGGCTCTGCTCGTCTTGAGTGTTTTCAGTGAATCTTGCTGTTGGAATAAGCAAATGAAAACTAACCACTTACCATAGCTGCACTGGACAAATGTCACCTAGTCTGTACTGTGTGTCCATATGCTGAATGCTAGGCACATTTACTGTTAATTTAACATGCTCTTAACTAAGGCAATCAAGGCCTTCTCAATGTGTTGAAAAGCATTTACTTACCATTAATGTAAACTGTGTAATACTGAACATATTCCAATCTGTAGCATTCATATGTTCCTCCATCAGACAACTGCACATTTTCTATGACCAGCTCACCATCTTTTTTGGTCTGGACCCTCTCAGAAGGAGAAGTTCTATTTTGCATCTTTTTACCATTAATAATCCACCTTGCAAAACTGGTTTTGTTAAGTATTGAGCAGTAAAGATTTTCTTTGTTACCAATATCAAAGAAAAGTTTCTCTTTCCCCAATACTTGTTTGTTCTCTGAAAGAAATATTTTTCAATAGCACAATAATAAGTTTATCATGTTTCAACTTTTTGGTACTAGCTAGATTGCAAAACTATTAGTATCTTGAGCCTATATGTCGCAAACATTGTAAACATTCAGTACATGTATAACTGGTCATGTGGACTGTTAACCTTCAGGAATTTTCGTCAGGGTATTAGTAATACCTCACTTACTTGGTTGACACAATGCTTGAGAACCTTTGCCATCTCCTTGACATTGACTTGGGACATTAAACTTTCCATCAGAGCGAGCACAAGATGCAAGTTCTTCCTCATTTCCAGTGCAAGAAACATCAAACATTACTGTACTAATGTTCTCATTCTCCACATTTGAGCCAATGAACTCAGCAAGGGCCTCTTGAAAGCCAAGTTGACGACAAATAACTTTGACATCATTGAAATCCCAATCACTGGTACATATTTTTCCCCAATTCCCTTTATAAAATACTTCCACTCTTCCACCATACTCTACATTTGCACCATTCAAGCGAACGGGAACTGATAAGTTCACAAAAGAGTGAGCAATTAGTGAAGATAACATACAGTCAATTATAAAACAATGGAATATTGATAAAAAAGGGATATAGCAGGATTATGAAGATATTTAAAAAGTCAAAGTGTTCAAACAGCTTCAGATATCTAATACGATTGTAGGAGTTCTTTGATGGGCAGTTGTCTGGGTATCACCTTGAGTCTTTATAATTTGCATCTTCAGTTACAATTTAACCTAATCCTAAAAAACAGCCTAATTTTTAATCTTTGTCAAAAGACTGGTACATCATTACTAATCAAAGCAAGAAAGTATGCTTTCGCAAGGTCAACTAACTGAAATAATGATCAAGTCTATGAGGGTATACCAGAATAAAATGTAGAAGACTGAAACAGATATGACCACAGAATCCAAATGCATGATTACTACCTTTGCAGAGTTGCAATTCTTTTGAAAAGTGGTCTTCACATTTTCTCAGAATGGTGGTACAATTGTAGTTTATAGAAGTCTCTGATTCATTGTTTCTGTCTTCATACCATCTACCATAGTCACCGCTGTTAAAGTATCCCATTGCCATGCAAGTCAAGTCTTCTTCAACTTTATTCCAGTTACTGGTGCAAAGCTTTTGCCAGCTACTATTTCTGTAGATTTCCATTTTACCACGTGATGGCTTCCTCTCCGTTGTAAAACGTAGTGGAAATACTGATGAAAGAAATAGGACAAAATTGCCTGTCTATTTTAAATTAAGGCCATCTTCACTCTGCATATTTTAATTGTTCAGCTGATCACTCTGCCAAATAGGTACTGAGTTTCACTAGTTTACCAATTCTAGGTTTAATTTATCAGAAACATAATTGCTAAAGCCCACAGTTAAATGTTTTCTTTTAGGATAAATTGAAAAAAAAAACATAATTAATATTGCTTGCATCAGACATCCAATATTTTACTATGAAACTGAATATTTCAATCATAATTGTCAAGCAAATTTAGTGCTAAATGTGTATGGATGATAACAATAGTAGGTGATGACACTAAAATAACAAACATTTGCAATAATAATGTATGTAGAGGATTGGATGATAATATAAAATGATAGAGATCATGATCCTGATGATAATAGTGAGTGTGAAATTGATAATAATAATTATAGTAATGACTATAACTTAAATATTCAAGCATAAATGTAATGTTAATCCTAATTTTGGAAAAGGTGAATCTGTGAAAAAGTAGATTAAAAGGCAAAGGCTTTTAGTAGAACTAAACCTTTTAAAAAGGGGTTAAAAAAACTATGATTATTCTTTGGACCATCCATGATGTCTGTATTTCAATGAATGTAATATGCCATGTGATTCTTATTCACATGCAATGATTTCACCATCTGTCTGTTACCTTCATGGCAGCTGGAGATGTTGTTACATTCCCTCACAAGTGCTCTGCTCCCATCACAGTTTTCCCAGCCATATGCTGGTTCTAGATTAGAACATTCTCTGAACCTTATCTGTATGCCACTGACTGTTTTGGAGCAGACACTCCAAGCACTCCACTCATTCCAGCCACCATGGACTAACAATGTTTTAATAACAAAGAGTTGAGAAACAACAACTTCAAACTTTACCTGGAAGAAGTCGATGTGATCACTTTCTTTTCAGAAATGATGTTTTTTCACTTTGCCTGATCATCATTTTCATTCTGATCGTGAAACACATAAATTACTAGGGAAATATCGAGTACATTACTTCTGCCTGGGTTAATACACTTTCTTAATTGTAACAAGAGTGTTGGTAAATTTCTAGTTTCTCATTTCCTTATTTTGTAGAGCTTAAAACTTTCCATTCTATGGTTTCTGTGAATGGGAAGTACATAACACTGATTACTGACTCTCCCTTGGACCGGTACAGTTATACACTCGTCTTTGTATTCCACCCCACAAGATACATTGTAGCTCTTTTATACTCCCTAGGATGATCATTGTGTTAGACATTAACATGCTGTAGTATATACTGCTAATTCATTCAACCTTATTACCATATCAAAAAGAATAAGGTGAGAAAAAGCAACTTTACCAAATCAAAATACCAACATATGGTAAAAACCTTGACTGTTGCTCATTAATATCTACAGAATAATGTAAATTGGCTAAAAAGGGGATGGAGCACCTGAGCTTGAATGTTAATAATCATAATGATAACAAGAGGCTGGCATAACAACGATTACTCACTCTTACCTGGACAATGATTTATGTTGCAAGCTTGGTTCATGTGACTAGGTCCTTGGCAATACATTCCAGGCCACACTCGCGGTGGATTGGTACAGCTGCGATATCGTCTCTGCGATCCACCACCACAAGTTACACTGCACCTCCCCCATGACCCCCATGAGGACCAACCACCATCAACTATCATCAAATTAATTAACATGATTAACATTTTAACATGAGTAACTTCCTGTCAATATTGTAAATGGCATGCCTATACTGCTACTAGTCCTTTCAATTTTGAAACCATTGTGAAAGCCCAGGCACATAACTTGGCTTAAGGGTGCATTGTCTACCAGAACCCCATATTCACAATAATTATGATTCCAGAAAATGTTTTTGTGGGATATGACACATTTTTGATACCCCAACAGGAGTCAAGCCTGTAGCTATGATACTTAATAGATGCTTCAGCACTGAATCACAATGCAACTAAACACGTTTATGCAGACTGATCAAGAAAACATTCCTTTTTCTTTGTAACCAGCCAGGAGGAGAAAAAAAGTCCTATTTCCCAAAAATAATATGAGCTTCAGAGTTAAAGTGTCCCTGTCTGAAAAAGTATTCCAAGAGACAAAACTGGTGGTCAACCGATTTGGCTGAAACTTGGCACAAAAGTTGAGTGTGATATAATATATTTCAAAAGCCAGTTGGCTCATTTCTCTGACGGTTTGTTCTGGAGTTTCAGGGGGGTCCCATTTGTGGCCTATGGAGCACCAAAAATTCATTCTTCTAGGTGGCAATTTGAAAGTGCTATAAAACTCCATTGGTAAATTGTGCTGCCAAATGAATTTGACCATGGACACTGCTATAGTGGAGCTTCTAATTCATAAATATAACTTTGTTCTCAAGCGATTAGACAGAGAGTGGCCTGGGACTAAAGTTAGGTCAAATTTGAGGTCAAAATCACTACCCAAAATTGCCATTTTTCAAAAAAAACATAACATTTACCTGCCTTCTTGCCTGACTTTCATACCAAATCCAGTATCCCTTACCGAATGGACAGATATGTAAAGTATCTGCAACTATCTGTCTCATATGTTACAGTACTGCACAATGTCTGTAATGGTTTTATTCATATTTGCAGAATATCTGCAATTATGTTTGTACATATTTCACAGATATGTAGGGACTTCTTTCAAATATCTGCAAAGTATCTGAGGGAATTGACATATATTTAACATATATGTAGGTGATCAAACAGAGTAAGTTAGAAATCGAGGACCTAGCCATCTTTTAAATTGTCATCATATGCCAGTCATGATATTTGAATTTCCCCTACTAGGAGACTATAATTTATTTGATTAAATGCTGACAAATAATTGAGTGTCCAAACTACCAAACTTTTAAACAATTAACTGTGCAAAACTACTAAGATCTCTATGGAAAATAGCATATTGAGTGACATGTAATGTGTCCTTCAACAAGAACAAATACTGATTAAAACTGTGGGGTCCAGAAAAAATTCACACAACTAATTTTCTATCTGCACATCAACTTACTTGCTTTGCGAATCTAACATGAAAACAGCTCAACCTTTTAATAAACAAGTGGGTCATTGTTTTCTTCAAAAGTGTTTTGCGTACTTGGATCAGCTGTCCCGCCATTATCGATCGTCAACTGAACCTAAATCTGAAATAATTTCATTACTGTTTGGTTCTTCTACGTTTTCATAAACATGTGAAGGAAGTTCTTTATAATTTTGTACTTCGACGCAATCCACAAGTTAGCCTGAATCAAAAACTGTGTCCTGCAGAGTGAATCCCGACCATCCATTTTCAGCTGTTGAAGAGAATTCGAAACTAGCGATCCATCGATGTGATCTTCAACACAGTGGAGTTAATAGAGGGGTTGGTCTGAAATTATTACAGCCTGGAGCTTCGATTAAAGCATTCCTCACAAGACAACTCAAGCTTTGGTAGCAAAGGATTTACTACGGAACGAAAAGGTGTTGAAATGCTTGCGTTGCTTTAATCAGTCGATTAGGCCGCTGGATGGACGAGGGGTGGAATGGGACCAAAAGTAAAAAACGCGTTTGATTGGATATGCTGAAATTAGCCATTTTCAAAACGAGCGGCGGTCTGGGTACGATTTGCCACCATAAAGGCTCTTGGGATCGTTTGGAGGGACAGCGTGAAGGTAAACAAACGCACAGCTGACGTGTGACAAACATGGCACACTATAACTGCTGTATTCCAGGCTGCACTAATAGTTACAGAAATGCACCTAACCTTCAGTATTATAGAATTCCAAAAGACCCTCATATACGTAGAAAGTACGTGGTTCTTATGAGGAACGAGACTCTGAAATTAGATTCTACGAGTACGCGGATTTGCTCAGTTCATTTCGATGGAGGAGAAAAACTTAGCAGAACGCACTTGCCTTCAATTTTTCCATGGACAAAACCGACAGCTCAACGTAGAGAACGCAAGAGGGCCAGTTTCGAAGATGTACAGAAAATAGAGCAAACCAAAAAAAGAAAAACAGCACTTGCTCAATTACCACAGGAAGCGAACTTTAAATTTGAAGAACAGACAGAAAATATGAATGTTAATGCTGACACCAGTACCAGTGTGGAAATGCAAACGTTACTTACTGGAGACCAACTAAACAGTTTATACAACAGAATGCAAACAAGAGAACAAGAAATTGTTAAGCTTAAGGGAGAGATTCAGCAGTTGGAGAAAGAAAACAACAACATAAAAGAGGTGAACAGCAAATTACAAAAGGAAATCGAAAGCTTGAAGCATGCTTTAGATAACAATAGATTTGACATAAGCAAATTTAAAGATAAAGATGATGATATTGCATTCTACACCGGCTTTCCCGATTACAATGCTTTTATTCTTTGTTACAAAACTGTAGAACAAGCCTCTAGCAATATTAATTATGGGCACAAAAGGACCACCACGAACGGTAATGTTGGGAGACCCAGAGTACTTACTAAATTCCAGGAGTTTACCCTTGTTATGCTGCGCTTGAGGCTGGGTTTGTTTGAGAATGATCTTGCTCATCGATTTTTGGTTTCAAGATCAACTGTCTCTAAGATTGTAAATGCCTGGATTCCATTTTTGAGGAGGGAATTTGAACCTCTTATCATCATCCCCCCAAGAGAAGTACTTCAATGTTATAGGCCTGACAGTTTTAAGAAACTGTTGCCTAACGTAACAGTCATTGTCGATTGCACGGAATTTGAAATGGAGAGGCCATCTGCTCTTGATTCACAGTCTACCTGTTTTTCATCATACAAGTCAAGAACCACCATGAAATCACTGTTGGGCATAACGCCAAGCGGTGTTTTATGTTTTGTGAGTGACTTATTTCCTGGTTCAACCTCAGATAAGGAAATAACTGTTCTTAGTGGTTTTCTAGACAGACTAAATCCTGGTGACCAGGTACTGGCTGACAAAGGGTTCAATTGTCAGGATGAATTAGCTTCTGTTGGTGCAAGCCTTGTTATACCAAAATTTTTAGAACAGAAGATACAGTTTTCCACAAATGAAACAAATCACAACAAGGTGGTTGCTAGCCTAAGAGTTCATGTGGAGCGGCTCATGGAACGTATAAAGAACTGGCACATCTTCGACCATAAGATACCAATTACTATTGCACCTATTGCATCAGACATGCTTGTAGTGGTCTGTGCTTTGTCAAATTTTCAACCCCCTCTTATAAATTAAAAATTATCATGTAATATTGTTAACTGTCATGACACATGTTGATGATGAAACACGAAAACATTCATATTGCAATAACTTTCATTAAATGGTGTAATGAAATAAATTTTGTTTGGACCAAACAATAATATTGGTATTGAAATTGGAGTCAAATGAGTGATTCAAATTCAGCNCCCCTGCTTTAATAATTTGTAAGCAGCTATGATCCTGTCCTCCATTTCAAGTCCTTCTTGCATGTATTTACTCTGAAATGGTTTTTTGTAACCAAGGACATCTTGGATGATTTTTGTTGGTGATGTTGTTTCCCTTTGCACAGCTATTCTGTAACAATTTGTAGCAGTAATCCTGGGCTGCCTGTGATGATGCCACAAATTTGAGTTTGACTGCCCTCGTGTTTGCTCTTCTACTTTCTTTATTTTTTCTTCATCAAAATTAATGTTCCTCTTCACTTTCTCAAATCTCACTCTTAGTTCATCAGCTGATATTGGATGACATTTGATGGGTGAGATGAGTGGCTCTTCCAGATTATTTACCTTTTGAGGAAGAATATGTGTCCATCCAACAGCTCTCCCAGATTTCATTTGATATTCTTTTAAAGATTTATGGAAGTTTTGTAATCTTTCACTTGGCCAGACTTTTTTTTCTGATACACAGGTACCATTCTGTGCTGGACATGAGGCTAGCTTTGGCCTTTTTGCTTTCTTTTCTTTAGCATAATCATGTTTGACAAAGCTCATCTCAGAGATAGGTGTCACTGGACCCTTGCGTTTCCCTGGCACATTCCATTTACAAGGCTTAGATGTGCAGGACTCAGCTGCATCCGAATTTTTCCTTTTCGTCTCCTTAAAGCTTTGTTCAAGGGCAAACAATGTAGATGCCACATGGTTACAACGGCCATCAATACCAGCAGGACACTTACAGTGTGCTTTTAACACACAACCTATGGATGACATTAACAGAAAACAAGAGTATACTTTATCTTTTTTCATCGATGGCAGAACTTGGCTTTTTACATAATGTTTTCCATTTTGGTGCAGATGTCCAATGTATAAAACATGCCCTGACTTGAAGAAGTTAAATCCCTTGACTAGGGGCTTTGCAGTGGAAAGTTGTTTTTTACTTTCAACTCCTTCAATCATAAACTGCCAAACGGTTCCAAAAGCTATCTTAGGCAAATCTTTAAAATCAGGTTTGTATCCTTCTTTTGGAAAGAATTGGTTGAGCTGCGGCTCTTCCTCCTCCAGCACTCCAAGTTGAGCCTTCTTGCGGAGAAGGTGTAGTCCACCGTCTGGATCACGGAGATATTTAACGTCTAGTCCATGCTTAATGTAATCTTGAACTCTGAAAAATATGAACATGATATATGACTGGAATGAAACAAAATAAAACGACACAATTTCTCCTTCGATATAATTTAAGCTCATATGTACACCACTAAATGAAAATATACACCTCGAGTGAACCTACCTTGTTATCAATGCTTTCTTATTTCCCGTAGTCTTTGCTCCCCTGCACAGCAACCACCTTTTCAATTGAACGACGCTACATTGTTCTACAGTTTCGCGAGGAATTTTTGCACCAGGTATATCTTCTTCTGTCAGAATAACCTTGAGAGCGTCTCGCACGGTTGCATTGCTCTTGTCCACCATGTTCTTGCTGTCCCTCCAAACGATCCCAAGAGCCTCTAGGGTGGCAAATCGTACCCAGACCGCCGCTCGTTTTGAAAATGGCTAATTGCACAGCTTTTTCGGTAAACTTTGTTCTTTGGCGGCACTTTTGTTTTCTTTTCGTGGTGTGATAAATTTCAGTTATTCAAACGCTTACACGTGGCGTCGTTTTAGCGTTTGAATAACTTTGTTCGGCTTACAAATAAAGATCAGCTCTACAAAATGTCAAAAAGGAATCAACGAATTACCAAAGCATCAACACGTTTTCAAGAGGTTAATGGTGAGTGACACCCATTTTTTTAGCGGTGAAACTTAAAATTTTTTTTTGTTTATTTCGTTCATAGTTGTGAATAATGACCTTATCGAAACTACGAAATAATTGTTTGTAGCAAGACGTACTTCAAACGGATAAGCTTAGTTGCTGATACCTTGTTTCCCTATAGACTTTCACCTTGTGAAATTTACTGAGGATGGAATAAAGTGCTTGTACGGTAGAGGTAAAGTTGAGATTGCCGGTGATAATGTTGAGGCAGGCTCCTTGTGTGACACGTTCTGGGAGGATGCAAATAGCAAAGGGCTGGTTCCCAGCGATAATTCTCACTTTTCGTGGTATTTTAACTGAATAACCCCTCATTTTTTCTTTTTTATCTCAACAATTCAATTCCTTAAATGGTCCTTTGCCTCTATTTCATGTTTCAAAGGAAAAGAGTGTTTGATAAAACTACTATGAATTACTTTCTTCTTTGCCAGTAACTAAGCCATCATGATGATACTTTTTTATGAAGTGATAGTCTTTTGCAGAATTGATTACTACTTCCCTTGCTAACCAAGCTTACACTGTCACTTTGGACCGTGTCTTTCATCATTTTGATTGACTGATTATAGTTAGGGAAGGGGTCTATTCTAAGTGGTGATCTCATCAATCTCTGGCAATCTAGGTACAGTGTGCAAGGTCAAACAAACTACTGTACTCTCCTTGGTTGAAATTTTTGTTAGTATTTTAGATTATGAAACTCCATGTTACCAACATAATCAACTGTCGCGCTGTTTGTTGGTAATCCACAATTTCAATCATTTAAGAACTTACTTGAACATTTGTCTTTTCATTGCTTCCTAGGTTTTGTTCTGGATGAGAAAAATTATAGAAAACAGGCTGCCACAGTTGTAAATAAAACCTTGCAAGATAAGTGCTGTGGAGCTTGTAGAGGAGTTTAAAAGAAAAAAAACCAAAAACAAATTGAAAACCGCTAGAACTTTAGCACAATTTTATGATTATTCCTGTACTTTTAAATTATTTTTTAGGTTTTATATGTTCTTGTTGATTAGAAGAGAAATAAAAATTGCATACTTACTTAATTTATATCAATAAACTATGTTAAGTAGATAACATTGAAATGTCTTATTCACTTGTTCTTAATCAATGAACTATATACACTGGTACCCTATGCCACCCCTGATAGTCTCCCCTTATGGCCACAGTAGGGATCCACAGATAGCTAACATATCTGTAGTAGCAGATATTTCCACAGATATGTAAATACTGTTGGTTTTTCATATCTGTTACGTATCTGTCACAGTTAGAAATTTTGGGCCAAATTCCTATATGTTACAGATATGTTACAGATAGGTCATGAAGATATTTCACAGATATGCTGCAGACCTGAAGAACATATTTGTAGCCTCTCTGCCCGTTTGGTGAGGGATGTACTTTAGTGACCCATTTACCAAAATCAGTCGAGAAAAATTTGGCTTACTAAGCTTTGTTAAGTTTTTGGCACAAACTATGCCCTTCTAAGGCATAGCAAATTGGGATTTTGAGCACAATCCCTGCTATAAACAGACCAAAGTCTTGACATAACGCCTTTATTTTGTATTTGGTGAGTTAAAATGAAACATTTAACCCAAATCAATGTCATTATCTAGAAATACCTCGTCTCGTAGCTGATAATTACTCTAAGAAGGCCTCTGCATGATTAGCACTGCAAACACCCAGCGGTTTAGCGAAATGAAGGTAATTTTTTTCCTATGAAAACCTTGTACTCATCATAGAGCACAAATGATGATGTTCTAACCTAGATAAGGCAATATTTTTTAAAGATGATTGAATTTTCTCTGATCTATGTTTGTTAACCATATTTCCATACATAACTAAGCATGCAAAGTGTCTATATTTTGTCAGGCCGCTTTTTAATTTAAAATAAACTGACCTTAACCCAGCCTTAACCTTTAAGCTCAGAATAAAACGATCGTCAAAAGATGATCTACGCCTGACCTTTGAATAGACTGAATAGCTCTCGCAAATAACCATCACTCCCTCAGCATGACTTTAAGCTGACGTGCCGCAGTCACCACCTTCCAGGTGACTTGTGATCCATCAGAGATCTTAGGTATTTGAAAACCAAATAAATGGAAGCATCCGACACAGAGGAAACCCACAGTCAGAAGAGCTGGATGACAAAAAATTACTGTTGCTGTTAAAATGAAATATTCCACACGAGACATGAGATGATGCCAATAGAGCCCGCCATTTTGGACGTGAGAGTATTAGGACCGGACCGAGTTTCCATTCCTCCCTTTATTCTATGGGTATCCATCCTCGCCAAAATTCAAACTTGTTGTTCAAACATTGAATTCGTCACTTCAAACATTGAATTCGTCACTTCAAACATTGAATTCGTTACTTCAAACGATGATTTCGTCACTTCAAACATTCAATTCGTCACTTCAAACATTCAGTTCGTCACTTCAAACATTCAATTCGTCACTTCAAACATTCAATTCATCACTTCAAACACTCAATTCGGCAATTCAAACGTCCCATTCGGCGATTCAAAGATTCAATCGTCCTATTCGGCAATTCAAAGATTCGATTTGTCAATCAAACGTTCACTTCGTCATTTCAGAAATTCGATTCGTCAATTCCAACATTCATTTCGACAATTCGAGGGTCTTCGTTTTCGTACTGTTGTATCTTAGGAAATTCAAGGACGAAATTATAAACAAACCAGCGATGAACATGAACATTTCAAGATCTTTTTATTCCTGTTCTTTTCTGCGCAGGCGCATCAATGTACACGTAACACAGCTATGACGTAACTTAATATAATGTAACACAAGTATAACAAAACAAGGTCACGATATAACGGTACCAACCAACTTTAAATGTCGAGAGTGGATGTCGAAAGTGAATGTCGAAACTTTGAACATCGAGAGTGAATGTCAAAATTGCCATTTCAACCGGCGAATTGTCCAATTGAATGTTGGAATTGACAAATCGAATGTCTGAAATGACGAAGTGAATGATAGACTGACAAATTGAATCTCTGAATTGCCGAATAGGATGTTTGAATCTTTGAATTGCCGAATGGGACGTTTGAATTGCCGAATTAAGTGTTTGAAGTGACGAATTGAATGTTTGAACAACAAGTTTGAATCTTGGCGGGGATGGATACCCATATCATTCAAATGTAAATGTTCTTGTTCTTATCAGGATGGGCTCCTGTCCTTATCAAGTATTAAAAGTATAAAAATAAGTTTCAGGATAATTTTACGATGGCACTTGCTTCCTTTAGAGAGGTAAATGATCAGTGCGGTGCCGCGTCATGGGCTGTGCACGAAACGGCATGTACTAACACCGGAACACCCTGGAACACCAGAACACCGGAACATCCCGAAACCCCGGAACACCCCGGAACACCCCGGAACACCCCTGAACACCGGAACACCCCGGAACACCCCGGAACACCAGAACAGGCGAAACATACCTGAACACCGAATTTGACGGTGTTGTTGTTTTTTTTCCATTACAGATCATGTAAAAAATAAAATGTAAATGTAATTTGTTTACCCACGTAAACAAATTACATCTGTTTACGTGGGTAAAAAATTGCTTTTAAATTGCTTTTTTAGTGCCACTCTTGCTAAGAATGGTCCTCTCAACTTCTCGTCGAAAACAAAATTTCCTTAATTTTTTCCCTATGAAAAGGGTTTAGGACACATGTTTCAAAGATAGTTTGAAGGTTTTTCAATTCTCTTTTGAATGAAGATTTCAACTTTCGCGAACTCTCTGCCAAGGAAAGATTAGCCAAGGTGTTGCAAAAGCAAAAACTCAGTCAACTACAGTCATTGTGCGAGTTTTTTTGACGTTAAAATTATAGTTAGTACTAATCGTAAGGCATCGTATCGTGAACCTCTTCTACAGTAAGCAAATTCCTGTGATAGCCGCAAGTGATGGTCCAGAAACCCCCGTCACTCAAAACTCAGTGGATGTTGCGTGACTCCTCGACTTGGTCCAGTCCTCTCATTTTCACGTCCAATATGGTGGGTCAGTCGATACAATAATAATCACATCTCGAGGTGTTGCATGGCATGTGTCATATGAACTGCAAAACAAAGTATTTGTTATCCAGCTCTCCTAACTGTGGATTTCTTATTTACTGCCGGATGATTTGATTTATTCAGCTCTAACGTTCTAGAAAAATCGGATGGATCACAACTCACCTGGATGCTACTCACTACAAACTGTATGTATCATCCTGCTCTTTCACTGATGCCATCATGCGTATTTAAAAGAGCTAGCAAGGCCATCAAAAGTTTAACCATAGATCTTCTGTCAACGGTCGTTTTCGTTGAGCTCACTTCATATTGCATCAAGAAATGGGCCTGACAAAATATAAAGACTTTGTATGCTTGTGAGTATAGTATCATGACCTGGAAATATAAATCAGAGGAAATTCAAGCATCTTTTAAAAAATATTGCCATATCTAGGCCAGAACATCATCATTTCTGCTCTATGATGGGTACTAGGTTTTCAAAGAAAAAAAGGTACCTTTATTTTGCTAAACTGTTAATAGCAAAACCATAAGACCCCAGCTTGTTCTGTTTTCTTGCCAGATCTTAAATTTATTAATGTAGTTGTAATTTGTCTAGAATTTTGAATCTCTTGCTCTGTAAATCTATTATTATTTTATAATATACTTATTAAACACTGCCCGCCTCGAATAGCCTTTGCTAACTACAGGCAGTGCATATTTTTTTGCAGTATAATAATAATAATAATAATAATAATAATAATAATAATAATAATAATAATAATAGTAATGATAATAATAATGAAAACTTTATTTGTGTTTTCAAATATACAATTGTAAATGTCACTACGTATAGGCAATTTACAAATGCTGCTTGAGATTGGCTTATTCAATACACACACAACTGAAATCAAAATTGCATCAAATCTGGGTTGTCCCAATTCCTATTTCTGTAACAAAAGATGTAACATGTTGCTCTAATTGCTATATTTATCATTTTCTTGATTATGTAAAGTTGCTGCTTTTGGGCAATGCCTATGTCATTCATCATGCCTAAGAACGTAGAGCATTTATCTGAGAAAATGCCAAGGGAGCTCATGTAGAGATTTACAAATTTCACACATCTGAAAGTTCTACTCATTTCGTTAATCAAGTTCTGATATTTTTCTTTTTTACGTACTGCATTGTTGTACAAGTTAGATTTGAAACCAACCGTTAATTCTAGAACATATAGGCACTTGGACTGGGCTAGGAAAAGAAGATCTGGGTGATAATTTTCACCAGTTATTATTGAGGGATTTAGAAAACCAATAACATCTGCATAGATTGAGGAGCTAACATTAATTACAGGTTGAAGGGACTTGGTAATGAAGTTAAGGATTGAGTCGTGTCTCCAGGTAAAGCGATCAACGCATTGTTGACAACCAGTGACAACATGAAGGAGTGACTCAGGATTGAGGCAAAGGGACAATAGTAATAAAAATAATAATAATAATAATAATAATAATAATAATAATAATAATAATAATAATAAACTTGTAAACTTGTGTTTGTAGTTCTAATCACTGATAGGCCTTCTTAGAGTAATTATATGCTATGAGTCGAGGTGTTTCTAGATAAAGACTGCTTTGGCTTTAATGTTTCATTTTAACTCACCAAATACAAAATAAAGGTTTTATGTCAAGACTTTGTCAAGACTTTTATATCAAGACTTTGTCAATTTGTTATGCCTTAGAGGGGCATGCAATGCTTTCAATAAGACCCGGC